ATAAATAATTATGTCTAACCAATAAACTTCATCATTCATGGTTTCAAGTGTAAATATTTTATCTTAGGCAAGGAAATTATAATAATTTTTTTTGCTCTTTAGTTGAAAAAGAATTGATACAAAATATCTAAAAATTGGGCAGTTCAAAAATATTTCAGATAAAGTTCTGAATATCAGTTGATTAAAAATACCAGCTTATCTCTTATACTATGCTGGGCATACTTATTGTTTCTAATTTAAAATAATGAATGTGAAGAAATTTCGCATTTCTAATCAACTCCATAGTTTCTTCTCATTACAAATTTATGCAAATTGTCAGTTAATTTGATATTCGTGTGCCTACTGATGGATAATTTCATGCTAAGTTGATAAGAATATATTTGTTACTTGGTTGACTTTTTATTATCTATGAAGCACAAGCAAGTTTTCGCTCATGCTGAAGATGTAATATAGAATATTAGCAGTGAAAAGTATAGTTCTGAATACTACATATATATAATCTAAAATAAGCATGGCCAGAAGCTCAATCTTGAAACCATAAATTTTGAAAAGTGAAACACGTTGAAAGGTTGTGAAGCTGAAACATGAATAGAGACAGCATTATAGCATACAGGCATATCTTTTTGCTATTTATTATGGAAAAATTGTGTTTTGAAAATACTTGAAGTGCTATTATATTCAAATGCAAAGCTTTTCCAAGCCATTAGCTATTACAGCTTCTCTTAACATTTATTTACTAATGAAAATCATGTACGCGAGATAACAAAAACATACTTTCTGCATTTTTATAAGAGTTGAAAGAATAAGCAAGCAAAATTAACAAAATGGAGCAAAGAGGGAAAAATCAGAGAGATTGTGCTGAAAGGAAGTGAGGAAGTGAACTTGCGTGAAATGGTATAGCCGAATAAAGATTTGGAATGTAATTAGTGTCAACAATTTTTCTTCATTCTTCTCTCCACTGCTCATTTTCGAATCACATCATACGATAAAAGCTCCAGACAAATTCTTTACAGTTTACGCTCTTAAATATTAAAAGATTAATTCTTGCAACAATACAGATAAATTACTTCTTTATTTAATTACAGACTTATTGCAGTACGATTTCTGGTCAGTCAACCTGTTCATTTATTATTTGTTCACTGAAGCAATTATTCGCAAATGAAAATAATTCAAGTAACAATGATTTACAAATAAAGTGATTATTTTTATTTAAATTCATATTGTTAGTAATCTGTTTTTTAAATGGTGTCTATGATTTACCGTAACCGCACTTTTTTTACAAATTTATTAGTAATCTAAGCTTTATTAAATACTAATGAAACCGCGTATCTGTAGTTTTTTAGCTAATATTTACTTGTAAGTTATAATGAATAAATATAACAAAAAAAATTCGAATGGAATTTTTTTTTAATTTACTCGTCATATTTAATGATAGATAAGCTTTTTCAGGAGCATTTAGCACCTTTCTTCAGCATGCTATCTTATTGTCTCTTTTGCTATTTCATTTAGAAAACATAAACATCTTTCAGAAAACAGAAAAATATTCATGCATAAATTAAGTAATATGATTTTTTTAATGTAACATGCTGTCGTGTCAATAATTTTTGCTATTGCCCTCACTCAAATTAAGCTATTAGCTAGTCGGCGGAATACAAAGTTTAAACTACTAATTACATATAGATGAATAAAATTTTAAAAGGAAGTACGAGTTATTAATTAGTCAAAAAAGTTGGAGTAAAAAAAGTTGAAGATAGAAGGAAATAAAGAAATGATATAAATGTCGAGATGAGAGTAGTGTAGTCTAGTCGTCTTGACATCAAGCAGACATTTTATTCTGAGCAAGTCATTTCTTGTCAAGTCAGGCTCTTATTTTTTCAGCATTATTAATCTTATTAAATAGTCACTTAATTACTTGCAATGGAATTTCATTTCTTATTAGACAACACTTCAATTTTTTGTGTTTATTTAATTTCATCAAAGCAATATAAAAATTAATGATATGCAATTGCTCAAATATTACAATTGCTTGTGCTGCGAACTGTAAAATAACTGTTATGACCGAAAATTTTATTCTATTTTGCATATACAAATAATACAAAATATTATGCGAGTAATTAACTTTAATAGAGTTATGTTAGAGATAATTGGATTGAAATCAGTGATAAAAGCAAACAACAGCAGCTTTGTATGGTACTGATCATTGTTGTCGGAAAAACTTTCTGTACTAAACGGGCAATAAAAATTAAAATTTACAAAAATATGCAAAATTCATCAGCGTTTAGAACTTTTCATTTCATCTATTCTACAAATGCTTCAATTTTAAACCAAAAATTACGACATAATTGTGAATTTATTCTTCGTTAACTCACAATGAATTATTATTACCTCTTCTCTTGTGCATTATCCATTTCTGATATATCATTTTGCATTAATTATTATTAGCACCGAAAATGCCTTGCCAGCACATTTTCATATTCTTAATCAGAAATTAAAAATAATTAGAGCAAAAAATTTCTTCCACTATGACTAAAATTTACATTTTAAACACTTTCTTGACTTAAAATTTTTTTGATTATAAGACAGGTGTTAAACAATTTCATTTGACTGCTGTAGTAGAAATTAATTGAGAACACTAATTTTGATATAGCACAGAAAAGTTTATTTATTACGAAAATCTGTGATAAACACAAATATACATTCAACTTTCATAATATTAAATATTTTGAACCATATTATCAAAACTTCAGCAAAAAAAGCAAAAACATTTTGAAAATGAAAAATAACATTAATAAAAAACAATTTCCCACTATAATAATATAAAATTATAAATTGTATAGCACACTGTTAATAATTTCTTATTAAATATGCTTTTTTAGAATGAAAAATATATAAATTACTTGCTGAACTTAAGGCTGAAGATTGTACTAACAGCCTCTATTCAATGTGACATAGTAAGTAATCATTATAATCAGAAACACACAGGTAAATTACATACAAAAATTAAATCATTAAACCATTGAGGGCGAAAATGCATTTGGAATAGAGGCAATCCGTGTGGTCAACATAACACGAGATTGATGAGTATTTTTTGAGGTAAGTAGACAGTGGTACTTGTTTATATTTAAAGTCACTAAGGGTAGCCAACGAAATGCGTAATGAAAGCCCACGCGAAACCTGAAATGGTGTAGTAACAATGTTTATTTTTCCACATATTTTTTTTTCAAAAATTGTGGCAATGAGTACTCATAACAGCAGTGGTAATAGTAATTAAGACATTTGTTATTTACTAGTATAATTATTACTTTTCATAAGTGGTATAATAAACTGAACAATAAATTATTTAACAATATTAGTAACATATCTTTACCTGCTATTATGATTAAGTAATATTTTTCTATGATTAAGTGATATTTTTTGATTCAGTGATATTATGATTAAGTAATATTTTTTTATTTTTTACTAGAGTACTTTTTTAAGACAGAAATTGAAATAAAACTTCGGTATAAAATGAATGAAATACCTTTGATTCATAAAATAATAAATAATGGGGTTAAAGATTGTTGAGCTCATGCCAAGCCAATAGATGTTCAAATATATGTACAATGACATTTTATGATCGAATAATGCACCCACGTAAGTGTAAAGAACCGCAAAATATAATTGGTATGGTAACCACAACACCATGAAAATCATTACTACTAATGCTAGCATATTCGCTGCCTGTAGCACGATAAGCATATTCACATACTGATTTACTGATTTCAGGCAGTTATTAATGATATTTATTAAACTCTAGAAAGAATAACAGAAGATGCTAGCAACTAAATAAATGTGCTTTCAATCAGAATTACACCGTTTTATAATATTTATATTATAGTACTAAAGATTTTATCCTTGTTGATAAAAGATTTGTAAAAGTTAAGAAAGAAAACTGACACGCCGTTTCGCTCTAATATTTTCTTGATTGCGTGTATCACCAATTGATTCACGTGTCCTGAGTATTAGGGCAACCCGTCCATAAGTATAAATAAGCACCAATAAAGGCAGTATATAGTTCACAACCAGTAAGATATTATTGTATCTAAAAAATGATAATAAATTATCAATTATGTGTAAAATTTTAATTGCAGAAATGCAAAATTATTAAATTAGTCAATGAAAAAACATCTTAGTATATTAACAAGAAAAACTCTGCAAATTGATATCTTAAGTGAAAATTCAGATATCAGTATTAGTTTATCATATAGAGTGTACTAGTAATATAATTTCAAGGAGTTGTGAGAATCAAAACAATTTTTGACAGATTTTAATGCGTTATTTCCTATTTTATTTTACTTTTGTTTCTTTTTGATAGCAAATATTTCAATAATAATTCAGTTTTCAATTTTAGCTCATATGGCTGTTTTGTTGCAATTTGAGATGTTTTAGCAGGCAAATAAATATAATAGCTGATGAAGAAAATACAAAAGTGAAACAAACAGAGCAAACAAATTGCTGGTCAAAGCATTGCCATCTGGGAAGTTATCCGCCAAACAAATTGGATCAACAAATATATTGTTCCTTTCGTCAACAAAATAATTAATTTCTTGTTTTGAAGCTAATAAAGCGGGTAAACCACATAGTACAGCAACAATCCAAATAGCAACAATTATTATAACTGTCGCTCGTTGTCCCATTCTTTTGCTCAATGGATATACGATCGCTACATATCTGCAGTTTCTTTTCTTTCAAAAAACTTGCAACGATAAAAAAGTTTATCAAAATTCAGAAATATCAATTAAAGTTTTTTGGCTGTAAAGTTCTTCTTTCAGAGATACATAACAAGTATAGCAAAGATTAACTCTTCTCAATTATTGAAAAATCTAGAAAAGGGAATCTTTCAAAATAACTAATCTAAAAGTTTTCAGTTTCAACGATACACAATGATAGCTAAGATGTGAAAACGTAATTTAGAAAATTCAATGATGATAACCTATCAATACTCATTGCGATCATAGTGAAAACACTAGCACATATTGGTGCTATACCCATAAGGTTGTTAATTGCGCAGTATGTGGAACCAAATATCCATACGTAGTAGAAATTGTAAGTCCATGAAAAACCGGTGTTAAATATCGATATGGCAGCATCAGAAATTGCGAGATTCAACAAATAATAATTCGTAACAGTACGCATTCGTTCATGACATAAGATTATCCTGTAGCAAACTTTATACTTGAAAAAAAAGAGAAATAAGATAATTTAATGCGCACATAAAAGCTTTACTGTATAGAAATAGTGATGAATAAATTTAACATTTGTCTAGCAAAATTGTGCTTCATAAAACTTGGAAATAGTATGATATGCAAGTGTAATCAATGTCAATTAAAGTAGAATCAATTAGCAATAATTGAGTGATAACCAGCATTATGGTAGTTGAACTGCTTCATACTTTTGCTTTATTTTCAATATTATATTCATGATCCATTTTTTTCGAATTTTGGGCAAGTGGCTTATGCTATATAACATTAAACATAGCAATCTGCTTCTCGCTTGTTCAATAATTTAGTTTTTTTGATGCTTATTTGAGGTTTTTTCATTTGTTATAAGCTGATTTGAGAAATTCAAATGCAATGATTTGTATCAATTTTTATAAATAAATACGCAGCAAAATTTTGATAATGTGATGCACTTATTTGGAAAAATTCATGATCGATTCCTTGAATCTCATTAATTGTGTTTATTGAAGAATACTTTTATAATCTGTAACATGACTGTCTTTTGTAAAATTTAATTTCAGTTAGTTAAAAGCTAAGTTGTCGCTGAAATGGTCAGTTTTCCATTTTGTGCCTGAAAGAGGCACTGTTGTTCTTAAGAAGGACATTATTCTTATAGTAATGAGGGAAGTTAAGTGAAGTTCTCATTTGCGCACAAAATATTTTACCAGTCTATAGTGTAAAGAGCAAAAAATACTGAACACATATATATTTAATCTAAAATGAAGAAGGAAAAAGCAAACCATATAACGGTGAAGTTGCCACACACAGCAAGAATAATAATTGCAGTGAATATAGTGATGTAAAAGATTTGAACCAGCACATCATGACTGAATGGAAAAACTTCGCAATGCAAATTAATTAACAGATTGAGATCAAGCAGTTCAGTGCAGTTACATGTAGTTGATAATTTCCGGCTAATCCATTTATCATCTAGTTTTTCATCTTTGACCAGTAAGCAGTTTTGTTGCATTTATTATAGTTGCCACTTTGCTTGTGGCAGAAGTAAAAAACTGAAAAATAGTTAATATATTATATTTAATAATTATAATAGTATTATGCTCCATTTTTCTAATTAGTTGCCATAGAAATGCATTAAACTCAGCATTGCTCTACGCATATTGAAAACTAATTGTATTTCAGTTTTACAATTACTAAAATTTTTATTATTTATTCGTAAGCAATGGACAAAAATTGTTGAAATTTTGCTTCGTTAATAGGTGCCAAATATTAGACTAATTACTTTATGGGATTAAGAAGTGTATGGTGATGCATCACTTGCATTACTAAATAACCCTTTCTTTGCTGTTTTATATTCATCAACTCAAATATGATTGATATGCAGTTTTTTAATGACATTTCCAAAATTGCTTGATGACTATAATTTGAATGAAAAGTTTGAGACTCACTGCTTGAGCGAGTCAGAAGAGTTCGTCGTTGGATTGAATTCATTTGAGATTTGCAAAGAACAGTGTTCTCTAAATCATTCAGTCTAGACTATCTGCTAAAACTATTTGCATAATGCATACTTTCTTTACACTATCATGTTAAACTATTTATAAAGACAAAAGAAAAATTAATGACCATTACAAGTTGCTGTCTGTTACATAGATAATTAGTATCAACAAAGTTTGTCAAGCAGATAATTTTCTATAATAATCATTGAATATTCCATCTTGCCATGTAGCATTAATAAGAAGTAAATAGTGAGAAAATAGTTAAAAATGACATCTGCTAATTAGCAGTTGTTGACAAAATTAAAACATGCATTACATAAGAGTTGCTTTATGATGGAAGAAGTGTTGATAGTTTATAACTGAAGATAAAATGCCGTCTGGAAATACATGCCTATACCAATAGAAAGAGGAAAGTTTTTTGTCTCATTCGGCCTTCCCCATAAATGATTAAATGGATGGGTAGATAGATAGATAGATAGATAGATTATATAGATAGATAGATAGATAGATAGATAGATGGATAGATAGATCAAATGTATATAATTATTTTCATTTTTGAACTGTACCCGATGACAATAGGTGATAAATTACAAGCAGTAATATTATCTCACACCACCGAATATCTTGATTTTTTATGAATTAGAATCCTTTTCAGTTTCGATCGCTTCAACAATCTATTTCGTGCAACTCTCCCAACTTCCTTCATATTTTGTTTCACATTCATGCGTCCATTTTTGCTTTTCAGATTTACTTGACGGCACTAATTATTACAATTGCATAATGTGATTAAAATCTAAAGAATTCATGTCTACTTAAGCAAGTAGCAGAAATGAATATCAATTTTATAGTTTATATAATCAAAGCTCTTCACTACTTAATGAAAAGCGACTTCACTTAAATTTTCATTCACACAGCTGTGTAAGCGTTAAATCACAGAAATCAACTGCATTTAATTTTAATACATCCATTACTTGCGAAAAATTTTCACTTCAAAATTTGATGAACTTTGAAACTTTGTATAACAGCAAGTTTACAATGTAATTTCATCTCATTAATCTGGGATCTCAAAATACATGGTGACACATAATGCCATGAAGACCATTATTTTTTTGATTACAAAAGATAGGATCAAATTTGCTTGGTCATTACATCATTTGGGATCGAAATAAAAGTTGTAAATTTGAAGAATTGATGTTTCTAGAGAATAAAACTTATAGTATAATTATTACGACACTCAAAAATTTATCTTACTGACAATTTTTTGGGAAAATTTATGATAATGTAGATTGAAAGCAATCTGAATAATATTTGATGTCAATATTGCTTCATTCTACAGCTCTGTCTGATGCTGTTATTTTCAGCATTGCTGCAGTTCAGTGGTAAAATTAATCTCCGTAAAATTCACTTAGTATATTGACTATGCATGATTATAAAAAGAGTGTGTTTTCAAGTAAAGAATGATATTCCTCAGTTGTATATGGCCTGAAAAGATCACAAAAATTGCCCTGGAGATAGATATATGTCAAGTTATATATGCATTTACTGATAACAAAGACCAAAGATATCTAATTACATCAGATATCTAATTAAATACACACTTCATTTTCATCAAGCAATCAAAAATCTTTTGCTTTTATTGTTATTCAACAAAAATATTATTGATATAAAAATTCTATGGTATATAGCTATAAAATATATCTTGAAAATGAAATCTCAAGTTTGTTAATAAGTTGCATAATCATGCCAAATTAATTGAAAACTAATGATTACTCGCGATTAAAAAGTAAACACAATATTTTTCAATACTTTTTTTTAAAACAACTTTAAATACTACCCAAAATGTTTTGCGTTGTATTATCCATCTAAATTATTATTGCTGTGTTAAGTTAAAAGCTTATGAGAAGATTTCTTCAGAAGCAAAAAATTGCGTGGTGACAACGTTAATATCTTTCCTCCTTTTTCTAACTCTGAGCAACAATCAATAATGAATAAAATTGTATATGTAGTATTGTAAAATAATGTGATATAATATTGTACAATATAATATTATATATTATATATTATACAATACGATATAATATAAAATCAATATAATATAATAT